TTTTTTGAGACAGAGTTTCACTCATGTTACCCAGGCTGGAGTGCAATGGCGCGATCTCGGCTCACCGCAACCTCCGCCTCCTGGGTTCAGGCAATTCTTCTGCCTCAGCTTCCTGAGTATCTGGGATTACAGGCACACACCACCATGCCCAGCTAATTTTTTGTATTTTTTTTAATAGAGACGGGGTTTCACCATGTTGACCAGGATGGTCTCGATCTCTTGGCCTCGTGATCCACCCGCCTCGGCCTCCCAAAGTGCTGGGATTACAGGCTCGAGCCACCGCTTTCCAAGAAAAATAGGTCACAGGCTGAATGTAACCCATGAAGCGCATGTGTTCAATTTCTGGAAGAGTGGCTTTGAATAATAATAAGCCTGATTGAATAATTGTGTCAAATTTAAAACACACTAAAACATGTAATGGGAAGACATACAAATATTATCCAAGACACAAAAGCAAATAATTTAAAAGATAAATCTGCCTACATGAAAATTAAGATTGTACAATTTCCAAAATTTGTTTTAACTGGAAGAAAATGTTTGCAACACACATAATCTACAAAGGATTAATGTACAAGCCATATAAATAATTGCTACAAATCAGTAAGAATAAAATAAAATAGCCAATAGAAAAATAGGCAAAAGTAGCTCACAGAAAACACAAATAAATGGACTATAAAATATATAAAAATGATCAACCTAACTTGTAATGAGGAATATGCAAATTTAAACAACAATAAAAACCATTTTTCACCTGTCAGTTCACTAGATATAGCTTTTGTGTGTGGGGGGAGGGGGAGTTGTTTTTTATTTATTTATTTGTTTCTGAGACAGATTCTTGTTCTGTCACCCAAGCAGGAGTACAGTGGCATCATCACAGCTCACTGTAGCCTCAACCTTCCAGGCTCAACTGATCCTCCCACCCCAGCATTCCAAGTAGCTGGGAGCACTCCCAAGTAGCACTATAATGTCCATCTAATTTTTTTAACTTTTTGTAGAGACAGGGTCTCTCTGTGTTGCCCAGGCTGGTCTTCAACTCCTAGCCTTCAGTGATCTTCCAGCCTCAGCCTTCCAAAATGTTGCAATTACAGGCATGAGCCAGTGTTCCCTCCACCAGGTATGTTTTAAGTTTATTAATAACATGTCAGCAATGATTAGGAGAAATGAGTGTCCTCACATAATACTGGCAGAAAAAACAATGCCACTGTGGATGCCAATTTGACTTAAATGTATACATTGGATGATGTGAAAATTTCACTTCTAATATCAAACCACAGATATTTTATCCAAATACATAAAGAGGCATGTTTGAAAACAATTCATTATTTGTTATAGCAACAAGTGGAAACAACTTTAATGTTTTATAGAGAAATGGTCACGTCAACTATAATACATCCATTTGATGAAATTCTATGTAATAGTTTAAAAGAATAAGGTAGATATATTTTTACCAACATGGAAAGATTACATTTACTGTTGATTAAAAGATGTTAACTAGAAAAATAACACTATTTTTAAATGTGCAACTACCCCTGTGCCTCATGTCAACACAATAATCAATTAACTCTAGGCAGAATATAAATACAAATGTAAAAGGCACATCAAAATTCTAGAACATAAAAAATTATCTTCTTGGCACTGGGTTGGGGAAAAATTTTTTAAAACAGGGCACAAAATGTATAATCTGTATGGTAAAGATTAAAAGATTAATAAACTACATTCAAATTAAGAACTTCTGTTGATCAGGAAAATACGTTTAATAGAACATCTTCTATTAAAAGATCAATTATAAACATCTTCTGTGTATTGCAACACACACAATGAAGTAAGAACTCTTACCCAGAATGTAAAAGGAACTCCTACAACATTCATACACTAGCAGACATACTTATTATTATAACTACTTTAGAAAACTGGCATTATCTATTGAAGATGAACGTACATATACCCTATGACTCAGTAAATTCTCACCTGTGTGGTGTGTTCCAGACAGAAATACATGCATGTGTACATCAAAAGACTTATACAAGGATTTCCATAGCAGCCTTTTAAAAATAATAATGCAAACTGTAAACAACGTAAATGATTGCCCCTGGGGAGGAGTGAAAGTATGGAAGAGGGATCTTCTGGAATACTAGGAATGTTCTAATTTTTGACCTGGGTGCAGGTTACGTGAATATTCAGCTGTATATTTCTGTGTGCAATTTTGTACATGTTTGCAATATTTAATAAAAATAAGTTATAAATAGATAATATATATCCAACAATTAGAAAACAATTAGAACTGATTATTTATTAATGATATTAAAACATTATTGTTTATTTAGCTAGGTGTGGTGGTTCACACCTGTAATCCTAGCACTTTGGGAGGCCAAGGCGGGCAGGTCATTTGAGGCCAGGAGTTCCAGATCAGCCAGGCCCACATGGTGAAACCCCATCCCTACTAAAAATAGAAAAATTAGCTAGGCGAGGTGGTGGACACCTGTAATTCCAGCTACTTAGGAGGCTGAGGCAGAAGAATCACTTGAACCCAGGAGGGAGGTTGCAATGAGCTGAGATTGTGCCTCTGCATTCCAACCTGGACACAAAGCAAGACTGTCTCAAAAAAAAAAAAATTGTTTACTTTTTAGAAGTCATTAAGTGTGATAATGGTATTGTATGTGTATTTTTAAAGAGTCCTTATATTTTAGAAATGTATACTGAAATATTTATCATGAAAAGATATTATGTCAGATTATCTTCAAAATAATCCATGGGAAGGTGAGGGAAAGGGTGAAAGAGATATAGTTGAAACAGCATTACTATGAGTTTGTAACTGTTGATGTTAAGAGTTGGTAACTGTTGAAGTTAGGAGATAGGTACACAGGAGTTATCATTATATAATCCCCTATACATTTTGAAATTTTATATACTTTAAAACATATACAAAGAAAATATATACCAGATGTATGTATATACACACACATATATAATACATATTATGTATATTTTAAGCTGGGTATGCATGAAAATTCATTGCAACAGGTTTGGAAAGATGAAACACACTAAAGTAATAACAGTGATTAATTCTGGGGCAGGGAATGGAATTGGTAATATATGTAATGTTTTCCTTTTGTCCAAATTAACATATATATATAGTAAAATTTAAAAATAATTTAAAAATACATAGGTTTTTTTTAAAAAGGCACATATAAAATTCTTATCTTTAAGCTTATTGTCACCTTGAAAGGCAATTCGAAACATGTATATTTTAATTCATGCAACACCTTAAGACCTAATGACACTCAAGAAAGTAGTCTGAAAACCTGAGAAGCTCTGGCGGTGTGATCAAACATCCTTCATGTATTACATCAAAGACAAAAGCTCGGCCTCGACACAGCACTACAATGTGGTTTGGGGAATGCCCTTCACTCTCTGGAAAAAGAAACAGAAAACACAAGCCTCAAATCTAACCTTAAACAGGAATAAACATGCATATCTCCATTAGAAGAAAAGTATACATTCCTCCAATATTTTATTTATCATATAGTCATCACATATATCACATAACAAAAACAATGTATTAATGGAATTGCAGTTACTATGGTATAAATACATACTCCTGACACTTGTTCCATGTGAGACATCTAGAAATCCACAAGTTTCAAACACCCTGAAAATCACATAAATCCCAAACTACTGCAGACATTTCTAGTTTTACTTAGAAATAGAAATGGGAAGGGGAGGAGACCAGAGGAATCTTGGAGGAGAGCCATTTGAATTAACAAGTTTCTCTTTGGGATTATTTTAATGTTAATTAATCGTCAGGAAATTTAATTGCAGTAATATCTAGCTATGATTCCTCAATAAATTAATTTTCAGTAGAAAAGGATACAGTATGCCCGAGTGGCAAAGGAAAAGAATTTTGTCCAGTCTGGTAACACTTGGTAAGCCGCTGACAATGGATTCTCTGACTCCTTTGGTACACATTAACTCCCCAAGAACTGTTTGTTGTAAACTTCAGACTTTTCTGATATAGCCCCTTTTTGAGGTACTTGTCCCTTTTTGCCAAAGATCTTCTTATATGATCCCTGCCCCTCCTTCTAAGAAAAGAAAATGGCAAAAGAGTACGAAAGAGAAGACATACACTGCCACTTGAGGGAAATATACTGGTTGCTATTATTTATGGGTCGGTATTAAGGCCTTTATACACATTATCTCATGAAATCTTTTCATCAGCTATGAGGAAGAACTGTCTCCTAATAACATTACTCTTTTTCCTCTTATATCTTATTTCCTCAAGACCTCGGAGGTGAGGTATGTATTTTCCTTATTCCTCATGGCTACTTCCAAACTATTTCTTCTTTCTTCCCTTTCAAAAACCTCCAGAACCTTTGCCTCTACCACCACTATTCTTATATTGGTGTCATCTCCTGACCACATCCCTTTCCAAGTTTAGGGCTGGAAAAGAATAAACCTTATGCCAAATTAATCAATAAATGGCTGGAAGGGGTGAGGGTGGCAGAAGGGTGCTACCTCAGGATAAACCTGAGGGGATATTTAAGCAGAAAACCGAATGAAGTGAGAAAGTAAGCCATGGAAATATCCGCAGAAGAGTTTTCCAGGCAGAGGAAATAGCAAGCACAAAGGCACTGGAATAAACATGAGCTGATCTGCCTGAAGGAAAACAAGCAGCTGCAGCAGGAAGAAGAGGGTAGAGTGGTAGATAAGGTTGAAGCCAGATCATACTGACCCCAGAAAGTGCTTTGCAGTATGATGGGAAGGAAACCATAAGATGGTTGTAAGCAGGTGAGTGATAATGTGATCTAACTAATACTTTAAAAAGATCACTCCAGCTGCTACATGGAGAACAGATTACAAGGGGGAAGAGGAGGCAGGCAAGATCAGTTAGGAGGTGACTAAAGCCGTCTAGGTGAGAACAATCTAAGGGAGATGGGATGGTGGCTTCAAATGGGGCGTGATACTTGAAGGAGACAAGAGGTGAATTGTTTTCCTTTTAAGATGGGAGATAGTACAGATGGGAGCAATCAAGTAAAGAAAGAAAATGATAAACAGCAAAGAGAGAGGATAATGCAAAAGCAAGGTCCTTGGCTAGGCAAGAGGAAGCAGGACTCAGCACAGATATGGAAGAGTTGTCCTTAAGACTCAGAGCAGTTCATCTGTTTTTTAAAAAGAAAAGAAAAGCATATGAATTTGCAGTAACATATTGCAAGGGGATAGGGAATGGGCATATATTTGAATTAGTATGTTTTCAATGGTTGCAAAAACAAGTTACTACTAACTTAGTAGCTTAAAACAACACAAATTTATTAACTTAGAGGTCTAAGGACCAGAAATCTGAAATGTGTCTTACTGGGCTAAAATGAAGGTGTCATCAGGGCTGTGTTCCTTCTAGAGGCTCTAGAAGAGAATCAGTTTCTTCCTTTTTCCAGCATTTAGAAGCTATCCACCTTCCTTGGGCTCATGAACCCCTTCTTCCATTTTCAAAGTCATCAAGGGAAGATCATAACCTTCTTATACTACCATCTCTTTGCTTCTCTCCTTTGCCTCCCTCTTCCATGAATAAAGACCTTGTGATGAAATACTTTGGGCCCATGTGAATAATCCAGGATAATGTCCCCATTTCAAAGTCAACTGACTAGCAATCTTAATTCCTCTTTACCATGTAACCTAACATATTAACAATTTCAGGGATTAGAAAGTAGACATCTCTGGGGGACCATTATTCTGCCCACCAGTGAAAGGCTGGTAAATGTCATAATGGGAAGATTGCTCATATTTGTGGTGAATAAGAAGAGTTTGTTAGCTAAGAAGAAGGAGTGAGAAAGGCACGAAACAGTGTTCTCTGGAAGGGAAATTCCAAGGAAGATAGCGTAATAGTGCTGGGGACCAACTTGAGATTTAACTGAGATCATTAAGTGAGGTTTTGTGGTTTTCTTTGGCCAAGTAAATGGCTAGAGTAGGTATCTTTAATATGTAGAGAAAAGACAGATTAAAAATTAAACAATGTTTAGGTTTTACCACATTAGTACCAGGGAGGGGTGACAGAGTTTTGAATGTGTATGCCCGGGAGTAATGACGGTGAAGAACCAGAAAGAAGTGAAAATTTGGAGAAGCAGGAATGAAACTGTAAATCACAATGTGGCCAGAGGAACAGCTGAGTTGGATTACTGAAAGACATGAAGTTTCCTAGAGCTATAAAGTGAAGGATATGAGAGCCTATGGATCATCTACAATTGAAAGCTAAAATCATGAAGAATGTGACTGAGGTAGTAATGGAAAGAAAGGCACTGGCACTAAAACAATCAATAGATGAAGGGGAATGAGCAGGAGGAAAGTCACTGCAACAATGTAGTGGTGATATAACCTAGTGACTTTTTTTCCCCCAAAAAAGGCTAAAATTGTTAAGGCAGAAGGGAAAAGAGAAAGGGCAAGGGGAAACAAAAAGGATACCAATGCCTCCCACAAGCCCTATCAAAAAAAACCCTTGAGAGGGTTGCAAGGGAAGTAGTGAGCTTACTGAACAATCAAACTTTAGTAACAATATCTTATAATGGATTTGGCTGATCATGAGCTCCAGAAAGTTCAGCAGAAGGGTTTGGGGAAGTGGTGAGGGTAGATCAGAGCGATGGGGAATCTGGATCAAATTAAACCATGTACAAATCCATGAATCCAGCTGACAAGGGATAACATGGGCAGTCTGGGCTTTTTGTGCAAATGTGGTAAACATGGATGAAAGGTATGACTGAATTCATCTTAATGGTCTCCTAGGGAGTAGGTAAAAACAAACAACAAGAGCCGGGTGCTGTGGCTCACACCTGTAATCCCAACACTTTGGGGGCTGATGTGGGCAGACTACTTGAGCTAAGGAGTTTGAGACCAGCCTGGGCAACATGGCAAAACCCCATCTCAAAAAAAGTACAAAAATTAGCCAGGTGTGGTGGCATGTGCCTGGTCCCAGCTACTCAGGAGGCTGAGGTGGGAGGACTGCTAGAGCCCAGGAGGTTGATGTTGCAGTGAGCTGTGATCACACCACTCACTCCAGCCTGGGTGACACAGCGAGACTCTTCTCAAAAAAAAAAAAAAAAAAAAAAAAAGACAAAAAATGAAAACTAGTTCTAATTATAGCCTCCTTATTAAGACTAACTTCAGTGGCTTAAACTCTGCCCATACTGTCAACACACATCATTTTTCAATTTTCTGGTTTGTTTTTTTTTTTTTTTTTGAGATGGAATCTCACTCTGTTGCCCAAGGCAGAGTGCAGTGGCACAATCTCAGCTCACTGCAATCTCCCCCTCATGAATTCAAGCGATTCTTCTGCCTCAGCCTCCCACGTAGCTGGCATTACAGGTGCGCGCCACTGCACCCAGCTATTTCCAAAACCATAAATCTTGAATCCAACTGCCTACTTACATTTCCATGTAGATGTCTAAAAGGCATGTCAATTTCAACACAGTTTAAAGACCACTTGCTTCTCCTCAAATCATCTCCTCCCACTATTTCCCACCTCATGAATCTATCTACACAGTCATCTACCCTGTTAGCTGCTCAAACCAAATATGTTGAAGTCATCTGATTCCATTTTTCTCTTACATCTTACAACCAATATATGAATATTCCTGCTAACCCAAAATCCAGAATATATCCAGAGTATAATTTCTCACCACTCCAATGCCACCACCCTAGTACAAGTCATTATCCTGACTCACTTGGACTACAGGAACAACTTTCTAATTGACCTCCCTGCTTGTAAACTTATCTCTCTCCTAAAAGTCTATTCTTCAAATAGTAGGCAGAATGGTCTTTTTAAAGCATAAATCTGGTCATCACTCTTTTCCTCAGAACTCACTAAGTTTCCATTCACATTTCAAATGTAAGCCAAACACTTTAACTTGGTTTATAAAGTACTATATGATCTACCCTCTAGTCACCTTTCCAATCTGCCCATCTCCTTCCTGTGTACCCTGTTCCATTCATACTGCCTTTTTAACCTGCCAACTTTATTTCTGCCCAGAGCATTCTGCCCTCAATACACACAAAAAATAACAGCAGCAACGAAAGTCAACTAAACAAAAGAAAGCCAAAAAACTCTCTGGGTCCACCTTATCATTCAGATCCTTGGAATGGCCTTCCCTGACTACCTAACATAAAACAGCCATACAGTTACTCACCTTATTTGAACTGTCTGTATATTATCTGCCATGAATTCTGATTTGTTTCATGTCTACCTCACACTTTATCCCTTTGTCTGTATGTCTTCACATGTAAGCCCCAAAATGTAATAACCATGTCAGCTTAAACCACCATATCAAGAGATGCATTATTAATGAAACCCCATTTTACAAACTATAACTCAAAAGAGTTACTTTATCTAAGGATATACCTACTAAGTGATAAAGACAATTCAAAGCCAGGTATTAATAATATTAAGTTCTTATATGCATATTTTCTCTCTTTGCTATTGCTCTCCTTAATTTTCTCTTGATCATCTTTTCCATTCATATTTGCACATTAAACATTAGACCATGAATAACTCAGTTTCCCTAATCTTTTAATTATTTCACTGGTAACATCAAGGTAAATATATGTGGGCTTGAGGACATTAAATATCTCAAGCATGTAAAGAAGTTTACAAAGAAGAGTTGAGTTCTATATGAAAGTAAGCTCATACTCCTAATACTATGAGCATGACTGGCTATAAATATTGTACTTTTAAATAAAATTTTATGTAAGAAAAAAATCCATTCATAATTACACTCTTCAGAAAGTATAAACTGTGAAAAAAGCAGTTACCACAGCAGAATTTTCCATTTCAAGATAAGCTAGGACACTAAGCAGAAACTGCCATTAAACTGACAGTTGGAAAAAAAAAATTGATGAGTCAATCTGAACTCATGTGTTTCTAAGAAGAGTGACTCCAAGCCAGGCATTGGGCTCATGCCTGTTATCTCAGCACTTCTGGAGGCTGAGGCAGATAGATTGTTTGAGCCCAGGAGTTTGAGACCAGCCTGGGCAACATGGTGAAACTCCATCTTTACAAAAAATATACCAATTAGCCAGGTGTGGAGGTCTGCCTGAAGTCCCAGCCACTTGGGAGGCTGAGGCAAGCAGACCACTTGTGTGCCCAGGAGGTGGAGATTGCAGTGAGCTGAGATCGCAACCTGGGCAGCAGAGAAAGACCCTGTCTTAAAAAAAAAAAAAAAAAAGGAAGAGTGATTCCAGGCTTTCACCTCATATGAGGTGGGGGGAAAAGCAGACTCACGGGGAGACTGTGGCACGATGAGTACATGTAAGCAAACACTCAAAAAGACAATTCAGGAAACAAAAAATGAGGGTAGAAAGAGAAAGAGAATCATCCAGATCACATGTTTCAGGATTTCCTTAATACTCTGATTCTACTATTCAACTAAAGTTTAAACTTTCAAATGATGGAACATAAGCATCAAGTTTGTATTGAACCATGTAAGACACCTTTAGAAAATCCATTCCTATGAAATACATCTAAACTAATCAGAATGATTCAAATATAAGGCTCACAGAAAACCTTTGTCAAAGCCCCAACAGTAATATTCTTCAAAAGTGTATGTTCCATCATGTCATAGTAGACTACCCAAATTCCAACACCTTTACTAAAAAAATACCTGCATTTTTACTTACCAGTACTAAAATAATTCATAATTGAGTCTCTTGTAATTCCTGGAACCTTGCAGGTAGAAAACAGCATTCGGAATTGATTCATATCTAGAGGAGTATTTCCAACTTTGTGAACAGGCAGTTTTTCTCTATTTAAAAAGAAGTATTTTGATCAAGAAGTCATTATAAAATTTAAAAAGCAGCCACAACTGAAGTATTCATCCCCAAATAAGAAAATTAAGCTTCTCAACATTTTGCCACCTGAGACTTCAGGTAAGCCTGTTACTAAATTCACACAAGTCCTTACTTTCTTAATAGTTGCCAGTAGTTCAAATTATGCCAAAGAATTATACTTCCTCTTTCTAATTGAGTGCCTTCCTTTGGAGGCCAGTAGTGTTCAAAATGAGGTGCAGGACCCGCAAAGTTGACATTCAGTTGTGATGGTATACGAACATCCAGATAGGCAACATTCAGCCACCACTCTTCCAGCTAAAAGAAATTGAGAACATCAGCTTAATGTTCTTCATAATACATGAATGTGTAACTACTGGCAATTTTAAAAGGCAAGGTACGTTTGTTAAATTTTTCAACATTTAAAAACATGTCTTCTGGCTGGGCAAGCTGACTCACACCTATAATCCCAGCACTCTGGGAGGCCAAGTGGGAGAAACGCTTCAGGCCAGGACCTTGAGGCCAGCCTGGGCAACATAGAGAGACCCTGTCTCTACTGGAAAAAAAAAAAAACTAAATTTAGCTGGGTATGCGTATAGTCCTAGCTACTCAAGAGTCTGAGGCAGGAGGATCACCTGAGGCTCCAGGAGTTCAAGGCTGGAGTGATCTGATTATACCACTGTACTCCAGCCTAGGTGACAGAAAGACCTTGTCTCAAAAAATGAATTAAATAAATAAAAACATGATTCTTGTTTTAAACCATCATAGATATGGAGAAATGTTATTGTGATAATTTCCTTTTTTGGGGGGAGCTATAGGATATTAGGTATTATTTGGTTTAACTGCACTATCAAAAACAAGTAACGAGAAAGCACCAAAAGGTACCCTCAGACATGTATTGAAGTCACAAGTATGCAACAAAGTACTTAGGCATTTCTTCAGAGTACTTGGGACATAACAGATAATCAATAAGTTCTCACCTAATGATAAGAGTTATTAAGACATTTACAATTTTCCTTTTCCAAACAAAAACTGAAATACTAAATCGGAAATATAAAAACTGGCTGGGCATAGTGGGTCACGCCTGTAGTCCCAGCACTTTGGGAGGCGGAGGTGGGTAGATCACTTGAGGCCAGGAATTTGAGACGAGCCTGGCCAACATGGCAAAACCTCATCTCTACAAAAAAATACAAAAATCAGCTGAGCATGGTGGTGCATGCCTGTAATGCCAGCCACATGGAAGGCTGAGGCAGAATTGCTTGAACCCAGGAGGCAGAGGTTGCAGTAAGCTGAGATTGCACCACTGCACTTCAGCCTAGGCAACAGAGCGAGACCCTGTCTCCAAAAAATAAATAAATAAAAGAAAGGAAATATAAAAAATTTTCAGTAGGCTTTAAAGTAATTTCGATTTTTCACAGACACGGTTTTCTATGTGTGCCTCTTTCACAATATGCAACTGAATTCCATGTGTAAGTAAGCACATCTTATCAAATTACCTGCAGTCTTTTTTGAAGAAAGTGATGTTATAAACTATAATTAGTAACTCAGAAAGAGACATAAACAAAAAGGATACAGATGAAACAACCACTTCTTTACCTTTGCCTCACTTTAATTAAAATAAGGCTCAAAAGTGAGAACAAAGGAATCCCAAAGTGTGAAATTTTATTATTCCATCACAGGTATGAAAAAAATCAGCTTGCTTTTTATTTCTAAAACTAAATGATAGGTACAATCATTATTGTACCTGTCAATAATATAATGTAAGGCAATGCTTTTTAACTATAAAAACTCATCCTCTGATTCATAATAACGAAGTAGGGAAATGGTTGAGCTGAAGAAGTTAAAGAATCTTTGTGGAAAATTATTGAGACCTTCAATAATTATTATACTAACTTCTTCCTCATTTATCTAACTGAAATATACAGTATACACAATCATTCTCCGCTCTGATTTTTTAATGACTCCTTTTCTTCCGTGTACTATTAAAATATTTCTATGTCACCTATGTGACATGTCTATTTTACTGTTTTGGCTTTTTCAAGCTAGTCACCTGGACAAAATGTTTTTCTTAAGCATTGTCTACAGATCACCTTTAGCCAAACCACATGAAGTGATTGTTAAAATAAGAATCTCTAGGCCCCTGGGTCCCATTTCAGACATCACTTATCCCAGGAAATCTGCATTTTAAGTTCTCAAATCCACCCAGTGAAAACTCCCGAAGTTAAGTGATTCATTCATTCTTTTAGATTATAAAAATGACAATAATAACTGTAAAAATTTTAGAGCAATAATTTAAAAATGAAAACTATGTATATTTTTATTTATTATTCTTTAACCTTCATCAGTTTTTCAATTATAACAACAAATACCCAATTTCTTTTTCCTTTTGCCCTTTCAAGCAATTTCTGGTGCAACTTTTTTCCAATCCCACTTTGAAATTTGTGAACTATTTCTTCAGTTTTCTTATATTCTTCTTCATTTGCAAATGGTTTCACTAGAAAGAAAGAATATTTATTAAGGTATTTAGACAAAGTACTACCAGCTCACCTCTATTGTTACTAACTTATGCAAATCTTAAGACTCAGATATGTAAAACACAATACTGTATTAAGTGTCACAGCTGAACAGTAAATTAAGAGTTTACAACAATAAAGTGGCTGAAAAGAAACAAAAGATTTGGAAATCCTTGCTTGAGAGAGAGGATTTGCAAGTGGGGAGGGAGCCAGGGAGATGGGGCAAAGGACTATATTTTTCCTCATAAGCCTATTCTCACTATCTCGCTTTTCAAACTATGGAAAAATTAACATAAAAAAAGAAAAAAAAAGCATTGGATATTTTAAGGACATAGTTGACTCTTGAACAATACAAGTTTGAACTGCACAGGTCCATTGAAACCAAATAAAAGTTGATAATGAGTATGCCTGCCTCTCCTGTCCCTACTTCTACCTCCTCTACCACCTCTGAGACAGCAAGACCAGTCCCTCCTCTTCCTCCACCTACTCAACATGAAAACCATGAGGATGAAGAGTTTTACGATGATCCACTTCCACTTAATGGATAGTAAATATATTTTTCTCTTATCATTTTTCTAATAACATTTTCTTTAAAATAATATAGAAAATAATACCTATAACATAAAAACATGTATTAATCAACTGTTTATGTTATTGGTAAGGCTTCTGGTCAATAGCAGGCTATTAGCAGTTCAGAATTTGCAGAGCCAAAAGTTGTACTCAGATTTTCTAATACATGTGGGTCAGCACTCCCAGCCCTGCATTGTTCAAGAGACACCTGAACTTTAATTATTACAAGCCTAAATGAAAAAACAATTAAACCTTCAACTTCTAACAGTGTTGTTAAGGAAGCAAGAGCTTAGGCGAGCCAGAGTAATGCCATTTTAAGTTCAGCTCCATCTGGAAACTAACAAAGCATAATTCCTTGCTGGCTATGACCCACAGTCAGAAGATATTTACAGCTGAGGAAACGGCCTAAAGATACATACAAGAACATACTCGTAAACGGCATGAAGTCCAGGTGTCCCAATACTCATAACAATATATGTTTTCAAGATAATTGCAGTTATGCTTAGATGTATTCACACACTAAAACGTCAAAGATAGTTTTATTTAAATCAATAGAATAATAAATTTTGTCATGGTATCTGCTCACCCTCACGTAGGCATAGCTTAGTTTAGTCTTTACTTAGATAAGGGCTCTATATAAGAAAAACTTAAAATAAGGACGGTGCATTCCTTTTGCCCTCTGAGTATGCCCTACTCCACAATGAAGTAGCTTTCAATAAGCTGTCTCTTCTCACTGCACTCTGCAACTCACCTTGAATGCCTTCCTGCATGAGATCCAACGACCCTCTCTTAGGGTCTAGATCAAGACCCCTTATCTTGTAACATCATCTAGTGGCTACAAAGGGACATTAGGATGAGATTCAATGCTGAAGAAATTCAGCCTGCACAGCAATAATTGGCCACCTCTGATAAGTGGGGTCTGTCTTGGCATCCTATCAAGAATAGTATTTCTAGCCCAATGGGGTTAGAGTCCCTAGGGTACAGTATTTGGGTTAGAGTCCCAGCCCATTGAGGTGAGAGTCTCTGGGGCATAATAAAAATTAAAGTAGCCTTACAAGATGTATGCCAGTGTATGCTTTGGACTAATCCACTTTGTCCCCTTTGCTGGATATGGGAAAGCTATAGTTCTCATCATTTCCCAGCTTGTTGCCTTTGCTTTACTGCAGCCTTACAGTGGCCAGTAAAGAGGTTTACTACATTCACTTTCCACAATTGCCTTCTGACTATCACTTTTTTAGCTTGCTTTCTTTGTCATGTCACGAGACAGCATGGGAGAAACCTGAGGACTTGCAAGATTTGTTCTTACTATATATATATATATATATTTATATTTGAGACAGAGTCTCACTTTGTTGCCCAGGCTTGAGTGCAATGGCACAATCTTGGCTCACAGCAACCTCTGCCTCCCAGGTTCAGGCGATTCTCCTGCCTCAGCCTCCCAAGTAGCTAGGATTACAGGTGCCCACCACCATGCCCAGCTAATTTTTGTATTTTTAGTAGAGATGGTGTTTCACCATGTTGGCCAGCCTGGTCTCGAACTCCTGACCTCAGATGATCTGCCCGCCTTGGCCTCCCAAAGTGGGATGACAGACATGAGCCACTGCACCCAGCCTGTTCTTGCTGTATCTTAACCACTGCAGGACTTAGATGCTTTTACACCCCATGTTAAAATAGGCAGAAACCTTGATCTACTTGGCCCCTGTGGAAACCTGGATTCCCATTCTCTTGTCTGAAGTTTCAGCCTGTTAGTATTCTGGTGGTTACTTTTGCCCTGCAACTGTGAAATTAAATAGAGTCTTCTAAAGCTCTTTATTTTTCTTTTTTCTTTTCTGCCTGATTTGAGTCTGTTATTATTAGACTACTGGTATTGAAATAAAACTTGCTATTTAGATAACTGGGAGATTTTGTTTTTCTTGTGCAGTTCAACCAGAAATGTCAAAGAAATGCACATGTTAGAAACTCATTTGAAACTGAAAAATAAAATGTGAAAAGGCTTAAAAAAACAAAAAACAAAAAAAAACTTCCATGAGGATTTCTTTACCCAAAATTTTGGTCCAAGGCTTTCCTGGCATGACTCACTGGCTGTCTGGGTTATTTCCAATTAAGAAATGTTTATAATGTGGGATAACATGTTTCTAAAACTTTGGCAGCCTGGGAAGCATGGCAAAAGCCCATCTCTAAAAAAGATACAAAAATTAGCAGGGCATGGTGGCACCCATCTGCAGTCCCAGCTACTTAAGAGGCTGAGGTTGGAGGATCACCTGAGCTGGGCAGGTCAATGCTGCAGTCAGCCATGACTGTGCCATTGCACTCCAGCCTGGATGACAAAGTAAGACCTCATCTTACAAAAATAAAATAAAATTGTAGAATGGTTTTATCTATAAAATGCTAACAATGCTAAAATCTGACAAACTGTTCTAGGTTTCTTGCTTCCTAAGTTTTGGGATTCATGGATAGGTGAGTGCTCTTTTGTTGTCTCTTCCCTTCCCTTTGTTGTCCCTTTTCTTTTTTGCAACATACATTGTAACATAGCCTTCTAAGCCCCAGGAGACACAGGAATACCCATGTTTCTTTATATTACCCAGGGACTTGAGGTTAGAAGGCCCCACCCAGACTGGGGGCTAGACGCCCCACCCAAAGTTGGATAACCTGTTTGAGTCTCAGAGCTATATTTGCCAGCATCGATTTCTTCTTAATCAGCTGCATATTTGCTGTCTGTGCCTCACTAGTGACACATGTCGCCCTGCGCTTACATGCCCTGAAGATTACACGTATCATTTTTTTCCAAAAGATGAGTTTCATTCTTTGGGTTATTTAATTCAACATCTCTCAATTGAGGGAAGTGAACATTCTCCCAGTTGAAAAATAATAATAATTTTATATAATTTAGAGCTTATTTAAAATTTACCTATGAAAGGAGGTAAAAAGGAACAAGTAGGGAGAAGGAGATGTGAAGAAAGTTGTGAATATAAAAATCTATTTTTGGTCAGGCCCAATGGCTCATGACTGTAATTCCAGCACTTTGGGAGGCCAAGGTCGGTGGATCACTTGAGGTCAGGAGTTCAAGACTAGTCTGTACAACATAGCAAAACTCCATCTCTACAAAAAATATAAAAATTAGCCAGGCATGGTGGTGCACATCTACAATCCCAGCTACTCAGGAGGCTGAGGTGGGAGAATCACTTGAGCTTAGGAAGTCAAGGCTGCAATGAGCTATGAATTTGCCACTGCACTCTAGCCTAGCCAAGACAGCAAGACCCTGTCTCAAAACAAAATAATAATGATGTATTTTTGGTAAGGAAGGTTATAAGAAAAGAGAATAATTTTGTATGAAAAAGAATCTTGTATAGTAAATTTATTTCCTAAAGTAAAATGACTATTTAGGAAAGAGAGAAGTTTAGAACAAGTCAGAACGTTCAAGCATGACATAGATGGTTTGTGTAAGTCATAAGATTTGTGAAGGGGAATTAATGAAAAGAATTTTTTATGTGATTAAATTGGTTACAATAAAAAGAAAATCATTTACAAATAAGGTAAATTTTGGTCCCCAATGTTAAGACAAGACTTTCTTAAGGTATTAATCTGCTCTTAATAAAATTGTAAGAAATTTTACTTTTACTTTTATAACCCATTTCTTTTAAAAAGTCTCAGAATCATATCCCAGAAGTTCAACTTTTACTGTCTCACTGCGTTTTGCTTTTTTGAGGTCTGGGATAATTCTTTCCTTCAGCCTTCTCATCAGCTTTTCTTTTCTCCAGTTCTAATTTTACTGTTATTATGACCTAATGCTAAAATATTTTATCTTGAAGGTCTAGAAAAGCAATGTTTACCTTTAGTAATACTTGATTCTGTACTTTTGGCTTTTTAAAATATGTCTAAGCTTTCAATGTTATAAAAAAACTCATGTTGTTCTTATGAGTGAGGTAATCCTCTGTAATACTCATAACCTTGAACATATGCTTCCTGGGTCCAATTAAATTCAAGCACTTTTTTCATCAGGTTTGATGTCCAGGTTATCTAAATGAGCTTCTCATAAGGAGTAGTAGTCACACTGCAGAAAGCTTTTTTTGACTTTTGGTAACTGTCTTAAGAAACAAAATTTTATAATTCATATGCTATCTCTATTAGGTTATTTTGTTGCTAAAACAACCAAGATTTCAAAAGGTTAAGGTTTTTACATTATATAATTTTCTATATTGCTTCTAAAGTATTTCATTATCACTTTGGGTAAATGAGTAACTATTATTTTACAATGACCTGTGCTTCTGTTTTGATCAAATGTTTTTAGCCTTTTAACACGTTTAATAAACATCCTCAAAATCCTATATTAAGTCTCTGACTTAGTCTTATTGCTGGGATTTATTAAAGCTATAAAAATCACTACAAGGCTATAGAATCTTTTTAAAGCTTTCAGTCATACCATGGACTTCATTATCACCATAATATACTTTAGATGTCCCCTCCAAATTTCATGTTGAGATGTAATGCCCAGTGTTGGAGGTGGGGCCTAGTGGGAGGTGTTTGGATCATGGGAGCATGAATGGCTTGGGCTGTCTCCTTGGTGACAAGTGAGCCCTCATTCTGATTTCACACCAGATCTGGTTGTTTAAAAGTATGTGACACTTCCTCCTCCCTGTTACTCTCTCTTTCTTGCTTCTGTTTTCACTATGTGAAGTGCCTGTTTCTTCTTTATCTTCCACCATGATTTTAAGGTTCCTGAGGACTTTCCAGAAGCAAATGCCAGCACTATGCTTCCTGTATGCTTCCTGAGCCAATTAAATCTCTATTTTGAAAATTAATTAACCAGCCACAGGTATTTCTTTACATCAATGTAAAAATGGCCCAATACATACCACCTCCAGCCTGATAATTACATATACTAGAAAAAAAAATCAGCTAAAGGGCCAGGCGCAATGGCTCATACCTGTAATCCCTGCACTTTGGAGAGTGGAGACAGGTGGCTCACTTGCGGTTAGGAGTTTGAGACTAGCCTGGCCAACTTGGTAAAACTCCATCTCTACTAAAACTACAAAAAATTAGCTGGACATGGTGGCACATGACTGTAATCCCAGCTCTCAGGATGCTGAGTTGTGAGAATTGCTTAAACCTAGAGGCAGAGATTGCAATAAGCCGAGACTGCACCACTGCACTCCAGCCTGGGTGACAGAATGAGACTGTGTTTAAAGAAAACAAAAAAACAACAAAAGGAAAAGAAAGAAAATCAGTTAAAGGACTCCCTCTAATTCCTTAAAAGGGTGCCTATCAAGTGCTACTAACTAATCCTTGTGCCTTTAAGTTACAGGGCTTTGACTCCTGGGCACATAGAGCTCATCTAAAGAAGGCACTGATTCCTGCTAGTATCTTACAGCAAACTGAAGCTAATCAAAGCCTTGTCTTTAGACCTGGACAATCAAAGTAAACTACTTTCATGAGACCTACAGATAGAGATATAAGGACAGGCCTATATTCAAAACATTAAAATTCATTTAATAATTTTGCTCATAACTGAATATAATTTTTCTATGCCTTGATACTAAATAATTTAAGTATTTGGCTACCTGTGGGTTTCCTTTCCTGTCATTCTCAAAACTAGGCAGGGCTTACAATATTTCTGTTTAAAACATTAATTCCTTATGTTTTGTCTTTTCTCCAGAATTTGAAACGATTCATTCCTTCTAGACCCAGTGACTATTACATGAGATTGAAAGGTCTTGTTTTGGGGAATAAAATCAATTCAGATCTCAAATCAAGGTCAGGCACACTGCCTCTAAACCTGAACAAAATGCTTGTATTTTATATAGCTAATTGCTACAAGTCAAGATTTAAAAGTTCAATGTATAGAATTTATAAATAAGTAAATTTTGTAACCCTGCCATTTGGTTTTTGGCTCTTATGTTGCTTAAAAGGAGTTTTAAGGTTAATGAGTGCCTGCCCACCTCCATTCCCACCTGGCCTAAAATGTTTAATTGCCCGTAAGTCTTTTGCTCAAGTCGCTTGGCCATAGAGGTCCCACCAAGGGACATGATAGACCTAGGGCAGGTAGAACACCACCCTGACATCAATATGGAATAAAATAAGAGCTTGGCCATTGATGGCATAGCTTGACAAAAAAGGTGGGGACTATAACCTAACATAAATAAATTTTAAAAAATCCTAAGCCCCATGGTGCAATCTTGGCTCACTGTAACCTCTGCCTCCTGGGTTTAAGCAAAATGGACCTCCTTCTTGGCCAAAGGGCATCCAAAAAACCGAAAAACTAGTTCCGGCCATGAAGGGAAGCAGGGAGACTGGACACACTTTGCTATATCTTTCCTCTTCTTGGAATTCTGGCATAACTAGTTTAATGTTAAAATAAAAATCATAAGTCTGACAAAACAGACTCTTTATGGTAGTAAAATACCAAATTATAAATAGACTCTAAGATCATGTAAGGCAAGGGTTAAGTCTCTACTCCAGGGTAAACAGTCATATGTTACATGCATGTTTGTTCAATATTCATGTGTCAGAACCACCTCCATAAATATTTATAACTCTGCTGTTCAACCAGGAGACTTAGTCATATTAAAAACTTAGAAAGAAGGACCTCCTACAGACCAACTTTCTCCAAAGTGGAAAGGGCACTATCAAGTGCTTCTAAGCACTTCTAGTGGAGTTAAACTTGAGTAGATTCATCCAAAATTTGACCTCTCAAAGTCCCACAGGCATTCAACGTGGTGACCACTATTCCAGCATACTCTTGTGAGCCAATAGAGAATCCTGTGGCTTCTCTTCAAAAAAAGAAGCCATCCAGTAGATAAGTACTACTCTCAAAATGAAATTACTGGTTTTAATATTAAAGTTGAACTATTATAATATTGGAGCTAATTTATTTACGGAATGGGCACAAACTGTGGCCTCCCTTCCAAACCAGAAAAATTGTTGGGTATGCAGTAAATTACCTCTTTCATCAACCTCAGGGTTACCTTGGCATATCAAATCGGCTAATTTAAGCCACTTCAATGAATGGTTTATAAGAGGTAAATACTTTCCTTTTCTAATGTATCAAAAAGACACCAGCTACTACTTCTTCCCTTCCTCCACTGAAACAAACAAACAAAAAAAACCCCTTTTTCAATTGTTCTGTAGACAACTAAATAACATCCCCACTTTTGACGGGCTTAGTTAATTAATGGCTACCCAAATTCAGGTGAAAGGTAAAGTACTCTTATGCCTTGAGAGACATGACAGCAGCCACCTCTAAGCTGAAATCTACAACATGAGGTGGTTGCTACTCATCAATGCAATCAGACCCTGGTCTTAACTAATCAAATGTGGACAGGATGGCAAAATAAATCTCTAAATTGGGTGCCCATCCTTCTCCTTGGGGAAGGTTATGGGCACATGGGTCTCATAGTTGGCTATACTTATCTTACAACTGGACTGGACAATGTCCTAGGGGGTCATCCCTACCTTCCAGGACATATCATTATTGTACATCTAGATTCCTTCCTCACCAACTGAAAAACAGTCAAGGCCCATCATAGATGAAGACAAAACAGGCTTCTTGGTGGTTTTATCCTATGGCCATATTCTCTCCTCAAGCAGCAGTTACAGACACTGAATTACAGGTAAAAGCCCTAGCGAAACATACTGGTGCAGCTTTCAGTGACACTCATCAGGCTATCACCCTCCTGTCTCCTTGGTGACATCTATCCTTCCGGGATAGAAACTTCCCAAATAAGACCAGTGGCCTTACAAAACCATATGGCCTTATACATTTTAACTGCAGCCAAGGGAGGAGATTATGCCTTGAACAAAACAGTATTATATTATATTCCTGACTACTCCCATTATATATCACAGGACATGAGTTCTCTGGCAGCTTGAATTTTGGCAATGGATTCCCTGTCATAAAATTCCATAACAGCATAGTTTCATGAACCCTCCAGCACTTGGAAAACATTTCTTTTCAGTATGCTTGGTATTATAATATTCACTATTATTAGTTATTGTAATTTTTATTTCTGCTGTGCTTATTGTACAGGTCTGCAAGATAAAATAGCTTAGTGGATGTTTGACCTATCTATTTACTAACCTACTATATTAACTTTCTTGAAATGATTGGGACATCATGCAAGCAAGGAGCTCCCTGATTCCCTGAAGAGGCTCACTGCACACTATTATGAGAGGACCATGTCCTAACAATCAACATCCACTGCTACCAGGAAGGAGTTACAGAAGAACAACCTTCACTCTGTATCTCCTCTTAAGATTAAGGGTTCTCATAAGTAGAGGGGGAAATGTTATGGAAGCAGGAGCCCAGGAGAGCCAGAGTAACACCATTTTAAATTCAGCTCCATCTTGAGACTAGCAAGGCACATTGCCAGTCATTACCCAGTCATAAGATATTTATAGTTGAAGAAACATCCTAAAGATACCTACAAAGACACACTCCTACAACAGCGGAAAGTCCAGATGTCCCAATACCCATAACAATATATGTTTTCAAGATAATTAACATTATTCTTGATGTATTCATGCACTAAAATGTCAACGATTGTTTTAAGTTAATAAAATAATAAATTTTGTCATGCTGTCTGCTAACCGTTACATAGACACAGCTTAGTTTACTCTACATAGATAAGACCCCCATGTAAGAAAATCTTAAAGACAGTCTGCTTGCTTTCTGCGGATGTCCTACTCTATAATGGAGAAGCTTTCAATAAACTGTCTCTTCTCTCTGCAATCTACAACTCACCTTGAATTCCTTCCTGCAAGAGATCCAAGAACTCTTACAGTCTATATCAAGACCACTTCTCTGGTAAGAGTATCACAGTTTTCTAAGTTGCTAACAATATTAATATATACTAAAAGATTATTAACATACCTGATTCAAGGTATTTTTTTAATGATTCTTCAAGTGAAGGAACAGGCAGTGATGGAAGAGAATCCTGGTACTGAAATGTTCGTTCTTCATTTGATTTAGTCAATTGATTTTCCATGATAAAATCACAATAGGAAAACTAAAGAAAAGAGAGACATCCCTCACAACTTCAATCTCATAGATGCTCTTATATATCCGAGGTACAATCCACAATTCACTAATTCAGTATTTAGGGACCACAGCATATCTAGGACTTGGTGCCAGTTCTTGTAAAATTTATAAACCTGTCAGATAGAGAAAACCAACTTAAAAAGAGTCTGTAGACTCAAAGTGCTAGAAGTAAAAGAGGGATCAGTGGGACTGGTATAATTAGTTACTATTTATTGAACACCTAGCATTTGCCAAGTACTTCAGTTTGTATTACAGAATACATGTGTTAGCTCCCTCATTTTTATGTTATCTCTGAAAGGTGGCATTCTTTGCCATTTTACATATGAATATACCAAAACTCAGAAATATAGTAACTTACCTAAAGACAAATGCAGGACTCAAAACCATATCTGTTAAGACAACAGTCTTTCCCCTATACAAAACAACATGATAGAAGGTGAGGGAACCTGCTTTAAGTCTTAGTGGGTAAATAGTATTTGATGTGTAGAAAAGGATTATGCATTGATATAGAAAACTTTGGAAAGCAAAGCTACAAAGAGGTGTGTAAGTGTTGTCCAACATTATAGAATACATAAATCATATGATAAGCTGCTTTAATTTAATTGTACAGGTGGTATGCAGCCTAATCAGAATGGTCTCATGTGTTCTAAAGCAATCTTGAACATATAACACATGTTGTTCAAAGAAATCTAACCCAAAATGTGAATAAGGTGTACTAATGCTAAATAAAAAATGAGATTTCTCAAAGCCTTTTAAATTATCATATATTAAATTATAACATTAAATATTGTAATATATTAAATATGTAATTATATATTAAAATAGCAACTGAGAAATCAAAGAATGTTAATATCGAATTAGAATTTCCTATTCTTTCAAAAGTGACTTTTTAAAACTGATAGCAATGCTAAACATAATAATCCACTCATAGATGTTACAGAATTGAACACTATCAAAAACATGGACACAGCAGAGACTGTTTTCAGCCAATACCTTTTTTCTCTGCTTTAACAGAATCCTGAGTTTTAGCTGTACATATAGTCACCCAGTTACATCTTTCCTAACTTCTCTTGGAGCTGTGTGGCCTTGTGATGACCTTTGTGTGTGTCACTTCCAGGTCATGCTCCCGAAAAGGAATGCATGTGTTCTCCCTGAACTTTCCCTCCTTTTCACTCCTGCTAGGTAGTGTCGAACTAAACAGTACAGTGGGCCCACTTATGGAAGTCATGTATGGAGGATGTTAGAATCTTCCTACTAGTCCTGGACTCCTACCTCTAGATGTATGGGAAAAAAAACCCTTCTATTTTATTCATACCATCGTATTTTGGGCTTTCTTTTGTAGGCAGAAGAGCTTAAGCCTGCACCACTAATATAGAGAGATAATTTAAAAATGAGAAATAGTAATCAACTCAAAGTTCTTCAGCTTCTTTCTAACTATTGACTTTGGCTGCACACCATTTTGACCATCCATAAACATGGATTTGGACCAAATGGAAATGCAGATCTGGATGCAAGTACAGACCCTGCCACTTTCTAGCCATGTGCCCCTAAGGCAACTAACTTTAAGTGAATTTCCTTATCTTAGAGTGGCTAATCATATAATTCAATAAAGTCAGAATTTTTTAATGCCTATAAAAGCACATTATAAAAATAATCCTGCCTGAAATCACCATATTGTGGTAAGCAGAATTTCTGTGAATGGCCCCTAAGATTCCACCTCTGCTAATCCCCAGAACCTGCAAATATGGTGAGATCATTACTCCTGTGATTGTGATATCCTCCACAGAACTGACTTAAAATAGGGATGTTATCCAGGTGGAACTACTTGAGTCCATAAGAGCAGAGCAGACAAGTTAGACCGCTTTAAAGCTTGAGAAGGATTCATGGTTTCTTTGAAGATGCAGATGGCCTTAAAGAACTGAAAGAGGCTAGGCTGACAGACAGTAAGGATAAAGAGATAACAATGTGAATTCTGCTAACAACCTAAATGAGCCTGGAAATAGATTCTCCCCCACAGCCTGCAGAAAAGAACCCAAATCTACATAAATCTTGACTTCAGCTTTGTGAAATTCTAAGCCAAGTAGTCAGCTAAGCCCACCCAAACTTCACATCTACAGAAGATATGAGATAATACATTTGTGTTGTTTTAATAGCTGCATTTGTGGTAATTTGTTAAGGCAGCAATAGAATACTAGTACACGCATACAGAGAAGATAAGCTATTCTGTTTACCCCTGTGCCATTTAATAGACTCTAGAAAACTGCAACCAAGAGTACTAGTTTCATACCTACTATAGTACTTAACTCACCAACAGGTACACATTAAAAATATAAATTATTGGATTATTTCTTGAAGAGTTGTCTTGAATTTTCAACCACAAAGATTAAACAATATAGTTCCAATAGCACTAAGAAAATGATGATGCTAGATTTAATTAGAATGGACTTTTTGGGGGCAATTAGATGTGAACTCACGAAAGTGGAAAAGAACCACGAACAATAAGTGAAGGAATTGTCACATACCAGTACACCAAGAAGATGAACTGCTTAAGACTGCCAGGAGCCTGCTGCAACAATTGTTTTGAGATCACAGGCAACTGAATTAAGTTGGTGACTGTGGGAAGAAAGAAACAAGCTTAACAAATATTTCAGAGGGAAAAAGAAATGAACAAGCTAGTGAAAGAAGGTGGATTGCAATCTAGGAGCTGGGAGTCCCCAAAACAAACTTTTTGTGAATCGCGGCAAACACACGCAAATAGTCCACCTGCTAGAGAGCAAGAGTAAATGACCATACAATTAATTAGATTTCATACAAGTAAACCTTCCGATTGGATGGGTTCAAAGGGCAAAGGGTACCTTTTCAGTGGCCGGGTAACAGTTTTGTCAGAGTGGCAAGGGGTGGAAGCAGGAGCAGAGGGCAATGAGAGGTCGAGGCTCCTCCCACCAACCCAAAGGCAGCTCTGCACTTGAGAGGTCACCAAGTGAGAGAAATCCAAGAACCACGACGGAGCAGCCCAGCCGCCCAACCTTGGGGGTACCCCTCAGACCCCTGCAGGCAAGATGTTTGATTAAACTACACCCCGCCAAATCCAGGCACCTTTGCGGTTATGCACGACTTAACTCTGTCGGCACAACTTAACTCTGTTCTGCAAGACTTAACTTTCCCCCGCTCCCGATCTGAAGGATTGGGGGAGAGAGGGAGTGTTGCTTCAGCGGGCCTGCCTTTCCTCACCGCTCGTGCATCGCCGCCTCTGCCGCAGTCGCAGCCCACAGCAGCGCCGGCTGGCTTCCCCTCGGCCTCAAAGGAGCAGGAATTGGACGGAAAGCTGCGAGGGTCCCGCCCCTCAGTCACCGGGGAACAGGATTGGACGCGAAGTCCCGCCCCGCACTGTGCCGGGGAACGGGATTGGACGGAAAGCCGCAAGAGTCCCGCCCCGTGCCTGAGGCCCGGGGCTGGCCGGGCCTGCGCTGTAGTGGGCTGATCCCGGCCTCTAGGGCGCGTCCTGGGCGGCGACTCTATTCCCGCGTGCGGGCCTGGGAAAGGCTAGCCAGTTTTGAAAGAGTGGTCCTAATTCTGCCAGGCTGCAGATTCCTGCGTGAAGCTGGGGGAGCTTGGCGACTGACCCAGGATATAGAAGGCGCTCTGGGTAGGCCGCGCTCCGCCACGAGGGTACCCAGCCCTCTGGGATAGATGCAGGAACAGATGGCTGAGACCCATTTTCACCCTACTTCTTCTCGCCCCAGCTCTGGCTTACCACCCGCTCCTCCCCATTTCCAAAGAGCCGCTTTTTGCAGCACCAAACACACCAGTGCTTTGTAGAGGAATCTAATTGTCCACCCCGCGTCTTGGCAAAAGAACAGTAATCACACAGATCCCTGCTTGGGCTCTTTCATCTTCTGAAGCTGTTTGCCCAACTCAGGTATGCTGCAGCTCCCTAAGTCATCTCAGGTCTCCTTGCCCTTCTGTTGTTTTCATTGCTACCCAAAGTATTTGAATACCCCAGGGATGCTTATCCTGCAGGCTTGGGGCTGATCCGATGTCTTTTACTGTCGTGCCAAGAAATGGAATCTTTAACCAGAGTGGAGCTAGACAAGTTATAGAAGATCATAATGTGATTAACTTAGTTTCAGAGATTAATTTTCCTTTTACCTTCTGAAATAAGATATACTGAGTTTCATTTTTTATTTTAAATACACTGTTGTATTTTTTTGTGGAAGGACAGACTAAATGTTTACACTGACTCTTAACTGGTTATCAAACATAAAGATTTAGATTTCAAAATAACATGTCATGACAGGCCCCATTCGTTTGTCTGTCGTTTCTAAATCCTTTAGCAGTAAAGTTTGACCTGAACAGAACTGAGGCTATGTGTAACTGAATGTTCAGTTGATATAAATATTCATAAGTTTTTTACAGAAATACTGTGTTTGATTACAGTACAGCTTGCTGGAAGTGTTGCATAATATATGGCAGACATACCATTCTAAGAAAAGTTCTGAATCCTGAAACATACCTAGCCAAAAAGATTTTAGATAAGGGGTTAAGAACTGCAGTTGTAATTTCTGAAGGGGTGTTAAAGAACTTTTTCTTTCATATATAAGTGCTATGCTCTGGATAATGTTAAAATTTGCTTACAAGATAAAGTTCTTAAGTTGAGTAATTAATAGCTACTCAGAAACCTTCATTGTACTTTTTCTCCTTTCTAGTGAGTTTTGGCATCTCTTTAAAAGTTCATGCATGTTTAATGCCTGTTGGTGGCATAGAATTTAGAATCATTTCACTTCACTCTTTTTCTTAGGCTTGCTGTTTATTTCAGTGGAAACAAGATGTTTCTGTAAAGATTCCTGAATTCTTGGATAGACAAAAAGTTGTGGGAGTGAAAAAATGAATGGAACAGAGTTTTTGAGTATGTAGGAAAAAAATCTTTTAAAATGTGTTATACTGATAAGCATATGCACCCTAAATCACCAAAAAACAGGTATTTTAAAATAATTTATGTTTGGCTTCAAAATGTGTGATATATGTTTTAATGAAAGATTCCAAATTATATTGCATTCAGGTTAATTTGAATGAATTTGCATTTATTAGAGTGGAGTGGGAGATATTGGCTGGTGAAGAAGATGTTTTAGACACTTGAAGTATTTCTGATAGCAAGAAGTTGTCCTAAGATTAAAAATTGACTATGAGTCAAAATATTTTTCTGGAGGAAAATTTGTAAGTAATACAAGTGGTGATACTTTTAAGTTGCCATTTAAAACATCTTTTATTTTTATTCTTCTTTAGTTCTTACTCAGCATACCACAAATTGCAAAAGCCTTTATAGGTAAGTCTAGATAAATTTCACCATAAAAAGCATTAAAATGCTAGACTAAGAAGTTCACATTTCAATCTCTGTAACTGGCTTCCTGCTAAGATTTGCGACTCTGATAAGTAAGGAGATATGGTAAATAGCTCTAATCTAAGGGAGCTCTGTAACCTCATTTCATTCTGATGTATAAAATGAACATGTTGAAGAAATAATTTTGTGATATTTCTTCTTTTTAAAGAGGGGCAGTAGAAATATGGTCATTTTGAGAAGCAGCCAACAGCAAATTAAAGTATACTGGACACAAATAGGACAATGTGGCATTAAAAATGAACTCCACTCCCAACAGCAGATAAACAGTGATTCATACAAAGGATCTGTTTGTAGTACTAATCATTGATTTGGGGTTGCTTTGATGATATTTACTGTATATGAAACGTTGCCACCAAAATCTGAGGGGAAGAGTTAAGATAACTATGATGTTTTTACATCTCAGAAAAATGCCTTATTACTAAACAAAATGTAACATTTAAAAATTTTGTTGGCCGGGCGTGGTGGCTCACGCCTGTAATCCCAGTACTTTGGGAGGCCGAGGCGGGTGGATCACGAGGTCAAGAGATCGAGACCATCCTGGTCAACATGGTGAAACCCCGTCTCTACTAAAAATACAAAAAATCAGCTGGGCATGGTGGCGCATGCCTGTAGTCCCAGCTACTCGGGAGGCTGAGGCAGGAGAATTGCCTGAACCCAGGAGGCGGAGGTTGCGGTGAGCCGAGATTGCGCCATTGCACTCCAGCCTGGGTAACAAGAGTGAAACTCCGTCTCAAAAAAAAAACAAAAAAACAAAACAAAAACAAAACAAAACAAAAAAAATTTTGTTAACGTCTTTGTTGAACTATAATTCACATACCATAAAGTTCATCCATTTAAAGACCATAAATCAGTGGTCTTACTATATTCACAGGGTTATGCAGTCACCATAATCTAATTTTGGAACATTTGGTTTAAATATTTTAAAAGATTATTTCCTATATACTCAAATCTCTGTTCCACTCATTTTTTTCAGTCCCACAACTTTTTCTATATCCAAAATTCCAGGCATCTTTACGGGAACATTTTGTTTCCATTGAAATAAATAACAAGACTAGCAAAAGAGTGAAGCAAAGTGACTCTAAATTCTGCGCTACCAAAAGACATTAAACATGACTCATGAACTGATGAATCAATAAACCAGTTTTTGTTTATCCATTCACCAGTTCATGGACATTTGGGTTGTTTCTATCTTTTGTCTATTTAAATAATGCTACTATAAACATTTGTGTGCAAGCTTTGTGTAAACATGTTTTCAATTATCTTAGTATTTTAGGAGTAAAGTTGTGGGGTTATATGTTAACTTTATGTTTAACATTTTCAAAAACTGTCAAACTGATTTCCAAAGAAACTATACCATTTTTACATAGCCGCCAGCAATTTATGAGTTTCAATTTCTCCTGCCCTTAGCTACAATAAAAATATAACATTAGTATTTGTTATTGTCTTTTAAAAAATTATAGCCACTTTAGTGAGTGTGACGTGGTATCATGTGGTTTTGATTTACTTTTTTTTGTGAAGACTAAGAGTGTTGAGTGTCTCTTCATGTGCTTATTGGCCATTCATATATTTTCTTCAGAGAAATGACTATTAAGGTCCTTTTCCCATTTTTTAATTAATGCATACATTTTAAAATTACTGTCTATTAAAATTAGGCAATGGTCTGAAAATAAAAGGCTGCTTATGGAATACTGTTATGTTAAACGTCACTTACAGGATGTTAAATCCTTAGAACTGAGATTTTCCCCAGGAAAAGATTAATGGAAACACCAATTGCTTTTCAGACTTGATTGCTATAAAAAATGGTTTTACGTAAATAATTAAAAACAAAAAACTTTAGTACACAATGAATTGCTTTTATTTTGATATACATTCACATTCAGCACTTAGTAGTCCTAAACAGCAAGTGAAAAAACATAGCAATTTGCCAGGAGGTCAAGCCTGCCAGTTTCAGGGATCTGCTGTGTACCCCAAGTTCTTAATTCCTGCTGAGGATCTTGAGATTCAGGAGCAGCACCAAAACCAAGGCATGCACTGGATCCAAGGTTCTTTTTGTTCCAGTTGTCAGATTCCAAACTAGACCCCAAAGGATTATAAGGATGACCAAATGAGAGCCCTGTTTTAAACTTCAATTTTTAAAAGCAAGAGCAATTACAGGAAAATAAAACAATGCAGAGAGATTGTGTGTGCTTACAAGTGTCTTCATGTGGTCATTCTCCAGTTTTAACAACCAAGGGCTCTGAGAGCTGGCAGGTCTGAGTAACCCTGGTAACAATTCTCTTCATCTTAATCAAAACCTGAGCTAAAGCCAGTGCATCAACTGATGATGACAGCAGAGGGTGGCAGGGCTGAGGACCCAATATTCATTTCCAAGGATGGTAGAGAGTAAATGTGATTCTAAAACTAAACAAGGGAGGTCAGAGACTCTTTCCAACCTTACCTGATGGCTTCTGGCCAAAGCAAGGAAGTATCATGGAAGGTGATGGGTGGTGATGGTGCGAAAAGACACTTGAGGAAGGAAGAAAAGAAAATGCAGCATCCCTTGATAAAGGTCAGGGAGAGAAGATGGGGGAAAGCCCTGAATTCCTCACCAAAGGCCAATCTCAGAGAGTAGTGAAGGGGTTACAATCTATACTTCGGCCAAGGGCAGGAGTGTAGGAGTAGGGGTTAGGATGATGGCTTGGAGTGGGCATCATTTAAGACTTAAACCAGGGCTGTACACAAAGCAATCCACACACCAAACAGTAGTTCCACAGGCTGCGACCTGAAACCTTCACATCTACTCTTAACAAGCCCCCCAGGCTAGAGGGCTGTTGCAAGGGGAGAAGGCAGAGACCCCAGACCATGCAATCAACAGCAAGGTGATTGTGTGATGTGTCTTTTCACAGTTGAGTTATTAATAGATGTGCCCCACCAGTTATAATAGGAATCAATTTAAATATACTTTATTGATCCCAGAAGTTCAATTATGTGGACAGTGGTTACATTTAGTACAACTTATATATTTCAAATGGGCAAAAAATAGAATTATTTACAGGATGTTAAGATAAATTTACTTTGAATGGGAGCTTCCTTTCAAGTACTTTGAGGTCTGCAAGATGTATCCAGAAAATTTGCTACCGTGGAAAATGAGGACTGCTTAAATCAAAAAGGGAAGGGCCTGTGGTTTTTCTTTTTGATTAGTTTGTGTAACACTGTCCTTCAGGCAACTGAGGGAGTTTCATATTTTGTTTAGACATCAGTAGGCACTGAAGCTCTTGCAGGACAACTTTGATGCTATATGTATTATATGTATTCTGCCATTTTGCTAGCACTGATAGGGCTCTTGGGTCCACCACTCCATTAGAACTATTAACTCCGTTCATGCTGATTTTTGTTACAAATCTGACAAAGGAGGGTGCTTCTGAGTATTTAGGTCCACATTTTATTTTAAGGCTGCATATTTGGTTTTCATAAATTGTTCTTGGAGGCCCAATTATCATCCCTGTTCATCTTTTAAGTGTCATGTCTTATTACTATCTAAATCCCAGCTAATTGTGCCATCTCCTACTCCTTTCTGGCCTTCTTTGAGTTCTTCCAACAGTTAGAAATTTTACTCCTGAGCCTGTGGTTGCTGCCTTCTTGCACTGCAGTCACTTTTTTTTACAAACCGTTTTTTTTTTTTTTAATTTTATTTTTTTGAAATTTTATTCATTTAGTTGTTTTATTTCTATACATTTAAGGAGTACAAATGCAATTTTGTTACATGGATATACTGGGTAGTGTTGAAGTCTGGGCTTTCAATGTATCTGTCTCCCAAATAATGTACATTGTGCCCATTAAGTAATTTCTCATCACTCTTTCTCTTTCTATCCCCAACTCTTCTGAGTCTTCAATGTCTATTATGCCATACGTTTTGTCCATGTGTACACATTATTTAGCTCCTACTTGTAAGTGAGAATATGTGGTACTTGATTTTATGTTTCTGAGTTGTTTCACTTAATATAATGGCCTCCAGTTCCATCCATGCTGCTGCAAAAGACATGGCTTCATTCTTTTTAAAAAACTGAATAGTATTTCATTGTGTATAAACCACATATTCTTTATAAAGAAAAGAAATCATTATACAAACCGTTTTTAATTGGATTATGAGTTGTAAAGTTTCTTTATATAGTCTAGATACAAGTCCTTTGTCAGATATATGATTTACAAATATTTTCTCCCCTTATTTGGGTTGTCCTTTCACTTTCTTAATAGTGTCCTTTGAAGCACAAAAAGTCTTTAATTTTGATAATGCCCAACGAATTAATCTTCTCTTTTCTCATTTGTGATTTTGATGCTGTATCTAAGAAATCGTTGCCTAGTCTAAGATTGTAAATATTTAGTTCTGCATTTTCTTGAGTTTTCTAGTTTTTGCTCTTACACTTATGATTCAATTTGAGTTACTTTGGGTGAATTATATGAAGTAAGAATACAAATTCTTCTTTTGTGTGTGGAAATCCAGTTGTTCCAGCACCATTTTATGAAAAGACTGTGTTATTTATCCATTGAACTTATTTGGCACCTTTGTCAAAAAAAAAAAAAAAATCAGTGGACCACAAATGGTAGAGTTTACTTCTGAAGTCTTAGTTCAATCTGATTGATCAATCAATCAATCTATCTATCTATCCATCCATCCATCCTTCCTTATCCAATGCCATACTGCCTTAATTACTACAGGCTTTTAGTTTTGAAATCTGGAAGTCTGAGCCCTCCAACTTTTTTGTTTTCTTCAAGATTGTTTTGGTTACTTAGGATCCACTGCATGTGTCCAAGGTCATAATATTTACAGTATAGCTAGAGACACCAGAATATAATATTTAATTTTCATTTAGTACATAAATATTGACTTTTTATGTCTACTATGCTTCTGAGAAGCCAATCTAACCTAGTTAATGAAGTGGAAGTATCACCCAGGCATATCTTCATCTAAACAGTTACAAGAAATAAAGTATTAACAAATATATAGTTCAATATGAATATTTATTAATAACACTAGGCCTATAATCCATATATTACATAGTATTCATGTTAATCGTGTCTGGAAACTTTTCTAAAATATAGCTATCCAAGAAAATAGGGGAAATCATGTTTATTTACCCTCAAAAAGAAACCAGTTTTATTCAGTTTAGTTTTAAATAACTACAGGTTATACAAAAAGTGCTGTGATCAGCCCTCTAATAAAACATCAGTGGGTGAGAGTTGGGGGATGGGGAAGAGGGTTAATCAACAGGTCATATATTCCTAAGCAAATTATAGTATCAAGAATCTGATTTTGAAAATCATCCTAGAACATGGTCACCTATGGAATTGTGGGTGACATGCCCAATTATATTGCATCTTGCTTGCTGTCATTTGAACCTGACCTTTTTAAATTCAGAGAATATTTTTCAATTTTTGTGTTTTAATAATTAATATGAAAATGTATAAATTTACTAGTAGTATAAATTTACAGTCTTTAAGTCAGCATTCATAGGCTTAGAGAAAAATGTCAGATTTTGAGTATGACTTGTAATTTGTTACCTTTCTAGTACAGTATTTTGTCTTTTTAAGATTTACACTGCATATTCTGATAAATGTCTGCCTATCAAAAATGCGTATACATTTTTTGAAGTATATTGAAGCTTTTGTATTATTTAAAATACTCCTGGCGACTTAACCATCATTCTGGTTTTTTTCCTTTACTTAAGTTATCGGAAAGGAGATTATGAACAAAACAGAGGGAACTCCTTTACGGGTTTATACAGAAGAAATCATGTTATTCTATGTTATTTTATCATGGCACCTTTAGTAGTTTGCAACTCCTGTGAGCTCTGGGATTTTTTTTGTTTGTTTGTTGTGTATCATGCCTGTGAGTAAAATTAAATTTTAAAACTTAACATTACCAAGTACTTTTTAAAGGTCCTATAATAAGGATTCTTCTACCGATCGTGAGATGAGGTAAAGTCTCTCCTAAACTCATGAAACTTTAAAAAATGGGAAGCACAAACAAAATTGAAATTTTCCTTTAGTATATGTCAAGATAATTTATATTTATGATGATCTGAAATGTAGTAGCAAAGAGATACAAAATTGTTCCATAAGTGTTAGAGCCATGTCACTTACAGTTTTATTTTTGAGAATCCTTATATTACAAAGCAGAGGAGCACAAAGCATGGTTTGTACTGCCATCCCTAATATCAAGAAGCTGAAGGAGGACAAAGTCCACACTCCTGAATGTCTTTTCCGCCTTTGTACTATCATCCTTATTCCACCATGTCAAGTTCATCTAAAAACATATTATTAATATTTTAACATATGACAGACTTGGGATATATACTATATCCAAATAAGATCTCGATTTTAGGGAAATTAATTAAACACAAAAATCATTTTCTTTATTCTCTTTCTAGCCACTGGTTGCTTTTCTAAAACAAACCCTTAAGGTTACTATACTTCTTTGAAGAGGTGGTTTTGTTTTCTATTAGAGCCCAGATGGAACCAACTGTTCCTACTGAAACTTCTCACAACCGCTGATATCCCCTATATTCCAACTTCCTACCTAGCTTTTACTTTAGTTCTATATGTGCAGTATCTAAAATGTCTCATCTCAACTAGCATATTTATGAATTCCTTCCTCTAAGTTCATAGGACTTCTAAATCCATCTCTGTTTTCTTCCTGTTTAATTTTGATTGCTTCTGACCACATCAACTCAGGTGACCCTAAAGCTCATAGGACACACAGGACGTGCAGTCAGGCTCACTCTAGCAAAGCACAAAGCACTATGTTGACAGCTCTTTCCAATAGAAAGCCATTGTAGGTGTGTAAGCTAGAAAATGTTTTAGAACCTGTAGCAGAGGGAAGGAACAGCTGTAAAAAGACAGAAACACAGAAGAGTCTCAATCAGTATTTTCATTTTTTAGAAGAAATTTATTACTGAAGGGGTAAAAGCTTGCTGCCTAGAAAGCACTCCCAGCACATTGTAGCATTCTTGCTATGGTTCCTGCACTGCTAAAGGCAAGATAACAATATATATGTCCCTCTTTATGAGGATTGGCATCTTTCTGGGAAGTGTTTTGGTTGCTCTACTTCAGTTACACCAGTGTCCTTTGAGCTCTGCCTTGGTGGAGTTGGAAGACAGCTCATCTTCATTTCTTGAATACTTCATATTCAGAAGTCATACATACTAGATATAAAAATATTTACACAATGACAAAATAAGGATTTTCTTAGAAACAGCTACTCCAATATACTTAATAGGTAATTCTCTTAAGTTGCAATCTGTCTGGTGTTTGGAATATATGAATCCATGTAATCACTACTTTTCAGGTTAGTGAAAGGGACTAAAAGATACCTTTTCCCGTATTTAGGAGGGTGAGTTTTATGAATGATTTTAAATATTATGTACTTAATGCTTATGTTTATTTCTTTATACAAAACATTTTTGAGGGCCAGGCACAGTGGCTTATGTCTGTAATCACAGCACTCTGGGAGGCTGAGGTGGGTGGATACTTTTACCCAGGAATTGGAGATCAGCCTAGGCAACATGGTAAAACCTTGTCTCTGCAAATTTTTTTTTTCAATTAGCCCGTTGTGGTGGTATACACCCGTAGCCCCAGCTACTTGGAAGGCTAATGTGGAGGATCGCTGGAACCTAGGAGGTCAAGGCTGTAGTGAGCCACGATCATGCCACTGCATTCCCACATGGGTGACAGAGTGCAATTTGGTCTCAAAAATAATAATGTTTGAGGAATCATTCCATTTAAGCAGGTACTAAAGAAGAAATTAAGGACTCTTCCTTGCTGAAAGCTTTCTCCCGAGAAACAGAAACTTGGCATCTTCATGCAAAACTTCAAATGACTTATTATTAGGTCAATAAAAATAAAATGGTGTTGAAGCACTAAGATTGTTAAAGAAGCTTAAAGATTCTATTACCATATTAGTGTTTACACAGTAGTGTATCAACTTTTATTCAACATTACCTCCTTGCTTTATTGAGGCAAATATATTTTGTATAAAGTATTGAGAATATCTGAGGTGGTTCCTGTACCTCTTCTGTGTTCTCAGTCTTATCTTGGTATATAAAACCATTCAGGCTTTAGGAGTATCATTTTTTTCTAGATAGAATTTTCCAGATGAACCTATAATATTCTGGAATAAACAACAAACCATTGTTTATAAAATTTAGAACAACTTTGATAAGCCTCAAGATTCCATAGCAGGACCATTGCAATTCAGATAACTGGATGAGGCAGGGTAGCATAGAGCACTAGAAACTTAATTCTGTTGCTAACGGACATGTGATCTTGGGCTAATCATTTAAACCCTGCTAGTTAGATCTCAGCATTCTCCTGGAAATAAAATTATTGCTCTCTGTTCTCCATAGTCCATACCTATTTTATAGTTCTCAGAAATTCCCAATGAGCTTTACAAGGCGTCTCCAAGCAGAGTTCCTTGTGGTATTGTCTCCTGCGGGGCAGAAATCCCATAGGAAAGTGGAGTAGTCATGACGATTGTGTGATTTACAATCCACCATAGGAAACTTGTAGAATTCCTTAGAAAACAAAGTGGGTTCCACTATCTCTTGGGTCTGTTATTCCCCCTTGAGAAGCCTTTTTTATTATTCTCCCTCTTTTCCTCTTCTTGGCTCTTCACCACAACCCAGGATGACTACACAACCTATTTTCACCACCTGTCTTTTTTGCAATCATTATTACCTTTTCTCAGCTGCAGTTTCACCCTGAGGCTTTGGCAACTGAAGTTGTATAACTAAAACAGTTACTGTGCCTGGGCAACTTGCTACACTTACCACAGGCTGCCTAATATTGTTTTCTTACTAACATTTTAATTACTTTGGATTCTGGTTTGGATTGCAAGTTCACTTCTTTTTCTTTTTGTTTCATAGAAGCCGTTGTGCGATTAAAGAAGTAAAAGGCTATACAAATAAGTATTTATTGAACGCTGTTCCTTGCCCAGCATTATGTTAAATACAGATACAAATAAATGAGACAATTCTGAATTTTCCAGTTTTCTGTTCTAATGGATATTACAGCTCATAGAAGGTGAGAGTCCTAAGGTATACTTCATTGTATTTTATGGTGAAGCAATGATATTGTGAAAAATAATCATAGACTGTCCAAGTGTGTAACTTCTACACACAATGCACTTGACATTCTGCTTGTATAAATATAAGTGCTGCATTTATGTACCTTTTCATTACTTACACAGTTCTCAACTTAATGCAGTCCCTTGCATTAATATTTGCTTTTGAATAAAAATTGAACGTACAGCACATATCATTTTATTGGACACACATTGTATGTCTCTAAGACAATGCTAAGCCCAAGTGAATGCAGCTTAAATTTTTATGTGTTAAAAAAAATTGGGTAAGAGCTTTTACCTTTGAGTTATAAGAATATAGGATATTTTTATTTCTTTACATGCTTCTGCATTTTCCAATGGCCTAAAATGAAGAATAACACTTTTATATAAATATATATGTATGTATGTATATATATATATATTTGTATGTTTGTGAATTTCTATATCCATATTTTAATGGGACCTCAGGATATCATAAATTTATGTATCCTGCCTTCAAAAGTGTTATGTGCCATTATCTCTGTAAGAGGTCAGTCATCAGAAGCCCAGAAATATTAAGGGAACTTATCTAGATTTATTTAACCAGGAAGTGATGGAGGGGAGATCAGAACCAAGATTTCTCTAACTATTAGTCTTGCACTTTTCCTGTTTAAATGAAAATGACAGGTGGAATTTTGGGACTACCCTTTCCTCCAGCAGTATAGATATGTGCTGTCTACTTTGTGTTAAAACTGGCATTCCAAAACTTAAAGTATATGCAATCGAGGTTTGTGTGTTTGTGTGTCTACTGTCCTTAGTCAATTTAGTTATAGTATAATCATTATACTATGTATCTGTACTCAATCTTTGTTCAGGTGTATGACAGTGAGAATGAGCATTGGGAAAGCTATAACAACAGGCTGAAGCCTAGTACCTGGCACCAGGAACTACATAAACACCATGGTAACCCTTTGGAAACACCAAAATTTGATAGCTTGTGAGGAAAAGTAATAGTTTACAGAACCATAAGTGTTTTCAGAAAATGTGAAATCAATGGGTTGGATTATATTTGTAGTAAGTGAAACAGGCTTTGGAAATACTCAGCCATTAGGAATATTAGTAATTCTAGATCAATGTCCACAAACCCATAAGCAAGTGAAATTATTTGTCCTGGTTAAATACCTCATACTTTGGTACATTTTAATTTTCTTGTTTGTTTATCCATTCACCAGTACTTATTGTTGCCATCATGGAACTAAGAACAAGAAATAAATTAAGAGGATAAGCCTGATATGCTTTCTAGTTTCATGGAACTTACAGGCTAGACCAGGAGATA